GGAGGAGGAGGAGGAGGAGGAAAGGAGGGAGGAGGAGGAAGAGGAGGAGGAGGAGGGAGGAGGAGGAGAAGATGATGAAGAAGGAGAAGAGGAGGAAGAGGGGGGAGAAAAACCAACAATAGAAACGATAACAACAACACAAATTAAGGGTTGGGACTAAGAAGCACTCTGAAATCCCACGAAGTAAAATTACTAAGGAAGAAAACAATAATGGTCTCACCTGAAATTCTAGTTTTATTACATCTCTGAAAGTTTTTATTCAGTTCAAGACAACATTTCAAGATCTTCAGTGTCAAAGTTCCCCACACCGTACATCCCTCCCGTCATGCCGCCAAAACAGCCAAGGACACTTACCCAAACGCAAATGCTTTTTTGTGGCCATCAACATCCAAGACTCTCTTCGGGGAGATCCATGCTGTGAGGGAGCCCTCGGGTCTCCTCTGCCTTATCAGGAGCTGGGATTTGCCTTCATCGTGGTCCATGAGAGCCTTCTAGGTCGCCGCTGGTCTTGGACACGCTACATGCTGCGGTCTTGAGAGAAGAAACAACTTCATGTGGGAATGACAAGGAACACCACAACCAGAAATCCAAGAAAATAGGACTTCGTGAAGCCAAGTATTTTTTAACAAGTGACACTTCCCATTTTTTTTTAATATTTCACCAAGACTGAATGTATTGTATCCAAGGGGTCGACTTCACATATTTTCACAACTGTGGGACAGAAATTATAAATTGACAATATCGACAGCCTGCAAAGAAAATTAATACAAGATGTGTGATGACCCAGGGTGGGATACCAAACAGTCACAAAAACTTAGTGAAGTCCCTTTTATTCCTTCACTTTGCTTCTAAGCTCCAAATATCCTTGACGGAAGACAAAAAACTCCCACACAAACAATTACAAGAAGGAAGAAAAAAAGCAACACAAACCAGGCAAGATAAGGGCTGCAGGATGTCCGCAGATTACAAATCATATACTGGGAAGGACGCAAAACTCAGAGGGGTACCATAAATTAGAGATATCTACACACTTTGTTTCCAGCGTTCGCCCGTACACAAGTCCGTCCTCTTATTCAGTTGTCACAGCTGCAGCCCATGAAGAGGATCAAGGCCCTTTCCTCCCCCATAGACCATCTCTCTCCTTTATCCTCTCCTCCCTGCGTGCCCTAGGATGGAGAGGCGATGGGCCTGGGTCCTCCCCTGACTGCTCAGCCGGCCTCTGCCCTTCCCCAGCCTCCTCCACAACCTCTGGAGCCACACTTCCACTGCCTGTCGGCTGTTCCTCCTCTCCCTCGGAGTCAGTCTCCACCAAGGGCATGACATTTTGTTTTATAGAGGGCACTTAGCACCAGCAAAATTAGCTAAAATGTTTAAAGGCAAATCAGCCAAATGCTGGAAGTGTCATCAAACACTGGGAACATATTACCATATGTGGTGGTCTTGTATAGAAGCTAAAAGATATTGGACAAAAATACATGGTTGGAAAAAACGATAAAAAAAAACATATGGATTTGAAACCTGAAATATTTTTATTAGGAATGGTACCCGAAGGTTACAATAAAGAAAAAAAAACATGCTTAATCCTACAAGTATTAACAGCAGCTAGAATTGTATTTGCTCAGAATTAGAAAAGCGATAAGATACCGATAGAGGGGAAAAGTAATTGAGAAACTATTGGAATGTGCAGAGATGAATTGATTAATACTGGTAATTAAAGAAAAAGAAAAAAATGAAATATTACGTGATATGGGGCTTATTTTATTAATGGTTAGAAAAGAGAATAAATTAAAATGGATTAGATCAGCGGTTCCCAAACTCTTTCAGTCCACCAACCCCTCGGAGCTACAAACTCATCCACAATGCCCTCCACCCAGGGATGGGATTCAAATTTCTGTGGGCGTGGCCTAATTTGAGGGTGTGGCTTGTTGGTCATGTGACTGGGTGGGCATGGCTTTCTGGTCACGTGACTGGGTGGGCATGGTTTGGTGACTAGCAAACCAAGTACAAGTGGTCCTCACTTAATGACCAGTTGCTTAGCAAGTGTTCTAATTTATGACTGGCCTCCCCAGAACTACTTGGCCTGTTTTTGGAGTTTTGACACCCATGCACGCGCGCACACACACCCACACGCACACACACTCCCTTCTAACCCTGCTGGAGCAGGTCATTGGACTAGAACCGGCAAAGCATCTCTGATTAGATTCTAGAAGTGAATAGAATCTAATCAGAGATGCTTTGCCGATTCTTGTTAATTTGATTTATTTATATTTCTTTATTTTATGTTGCTGAATTGCATTGACGTGTGTGTCCCTTCTTGTGCGCAGCCCAGAAGCTTTTGTGATTCTTTGCAGCAAAAATTACCGACCTCTGGCTTTGCTCTACTTTTCAAATGCACCGCCACTGCCGCATTCTAGGTGCCGGCCCCGCAGGTCCACCCCATTGAGCCCGCTGCACTGGAGGGACCTGCCCAAGCAAGTCCGAGCGGAGCGGTGCACCAAATCAATGGGATCAGCCTGAGAGACGAAAAGAGAGAGAGAGAAAAAAGAGAGAAAGAGAGAAGGAAGAAAAGAAAGAGAAAAGGGAA